GTTAGACGGTTCTAATTTCTCCACATCCTCACAATACTTGCAATCATCTTGACTTTTTTATTTTAGCCTTTCTAGTGTGAAATACTATTTAATTTGCATTTCCATGATGACCAATAATGCCAAGCTTCTTTTCAAGTGCTTGCTGGACACTGGAACATCCTATTTAAAAAATGTCTATTCAGATCCTTTGCCCATTTAAAAAAGTTTTAAATTGGGTTGCAATAATTCTTCACACATTCTACATAAAAAATCCTTATCAGATTTATAACCTCCAAATACTTTCTCTTATTCTGTGGAAGTCGTAACATTCTTTTCATTTTTATTTTTTTAAGATTTATTTATTTGAAAGGCAGAGTTAGAGCAAGAGAGAGAGAGGGAGTGGGAGAGTGAAAGAGATCTTCCATCTGCTGGTTCATTCCCCAAACAGCCACAATGGCCAGAGCTGAGCTGATCTGAAACCAGGAGCCAGGAGATTCTTCCAAGTCTCCCACATGGGTGCAGGTGCCCAAGTGTTTGGGCTATCCTCTGCTGCTTTCCCACGCCATAGCAGAGAGTTGTATTGAAAGTGGAGCAGCCGAGATTTGAACCGGTGTCCAAATGGGATGCCAACACTGCAGGCAGCAGCTTAACCCGCTACACCACAGCACCAGCCTCAGTCGTACCATTCTTAATGGCATCCTCTAAAGGGCAAAATTTTGCTTTTTAAAAATTTATTTGGTGAGGCCAGCACTGTGACGTAGCTTCCAATCCAGCTCCTGATAATGCACCCGGGAAAGCAGTGGAAGACGGCCCAAGTATGTATGTATGTATTTGAAATGCAGAGTGACAGAGAGAGAGACAGAGATCGATCTTTCATTCACTGGTTTACTCCCTCAAATGGCTACAATAGCCAGGTCTGGGCCAGGCCAAAGCCAGGAACCAGGAATTCCTTCTGGGTCTGGCAGGGGCCCAAGCATTTGGGCCATCTTCTGCTGCCTTCTCAGGCACATTAGCAGGGAGCTAGACGGGAAGTAGAGCAGGCAGTACTCCAAGTAGCACTCTGATAGGGGATGCCAGCTGCACAAGCTATGGCATAACCTGCTGCACCACTGCAATAACCAGCCTGTGGATAGACATACAGCTTTGACAAAGTCCAATGTACTCTTTCAGTTTTTGCTCATACTTAAAATATATATATATATTTGAAAGGCAGAGTGACACACACAAAGAGAGAGAGAGAGAGAGAGAGAGAGAGAGAGAGAGAGAAAAATCTTCCAGCCACTGATTTACTCTTCAAATTATAACTGCCAGAGTTGGGCCATGCTGAAGCCAGGAGCCAGGAACTCCATCCTCGTCTCTCACGTGGGCACAGGGGCCATCTTCCACTGCTTTCCCAGGTGCATTAGCAGGAAGCTGGGTCAGAGGTGGAGCAATGGAGCCTTGAACCAACACTCATATATGATGCCAGCATCAAATGGCAGTAACCTACTGCACCATATCAGCCCATCATCACTTTTGGTGATGTATCCAAGAAACACGCCAAATCTAAGGTCATATTTACCTCTTTTCTTCTAAGGGTTTTACAGGTTTAGCTTTTAGGTACAGGCCCTCCATCTACTTAGAGTTAATTTTGTATATATCATGAGGTAAGAGTCCAACTTGATTATTGTGCTTCTAGATACCCAGGGTCCAAGCATCATTTGTTAAAAAGACGATTCTTTCCTTGCTGGATGGCCTTGGCACCCTTGTCAAAAAAACCAACTGACCACAATACAGGGTTTTAGTTCTGGGAGCCCTGTTCTATCCCACTGATCCACACCCGCCTTCATGCCAGTAGCACACCATCTTGATGACTGCTGCTTTGCTAAGTTCTAAAAGGGAGAGCAACCACCTCGTTGTTCTTTCCAGTGACTGTTTTAGCGATCCAGGGTCCCCCTTGAGATTCCACAAGACCCATCTTGTCAACTCCTACCATGAGGCCAGCAGGGAATCGGGCAGGGATTACACTGAGTCTGTCCGGCACTGGGACTACTGCTGTCCTAACAGCTCGCAGTCTTCAAACTCATGAATGTGCAATGGTTTGCATTTGTAGCAGTGCCTCCTTAGTCACACTCCAAGACTGCCAGTGGACACCTGAAACCACAAACAGCACCAAGCCCTATACATGCTGAATGTATGTACTGTTGTTTTTTCCTATGCACACCTATGACAAAGTTTAATTTACAAATTAGGTACTACAAATTATTAACAGTACATAAAAGAACAACTGTAACAAAATACTGTAATTAAGAGTAAAGAATTATTTCTAGAACTTCCCATTAATACATTCAGATTGCAGATAACTAAAACCACAGGAAGCAAAATCACAGATAAGGGGTACTATGGTATTTAAAAATGTAACTGCAGGCAAGAATATTTGGCCTGTGGTTAACACACCACTTGGGATGCTTGCATCCCATATCAGAGTACCAGGGTTCAAATCCTGACTAATTCTAGCTCCCTGTGAAGGCCCACCCTGGCAGGCAAAAGGTGGCTCAAGTACGTGGGTCTCTGCCACCCACACGGGAGACCTACACTGAGATTCCAACACCTAGCTTCAGCCTGGCTCAGCCCCAACTGCTGGGGAATGAACCATCAGATAAGAGCTCTCTCTCTGCCTCAGGGAAAAAAAAAACAACTCTTGCCCAATTTTCAAAGAAAAGGAGAGGAAGAATAAGAAAATGACCACTACTACCTGTACATATACATTCGAAGTCCAAAAATTTAAATTACTCTATTTAACCACAGATAATCCCTTACATATTACCCGAGTAATCGTCTTAGTTTCACATTGGCTAGCTAAAACCAAGTGACCCTAATCCTAACGGGAAATGAATATGTGATTCATTTAATTTCCAAAATCAATTCTAAATCTTCTTTCGGAATCCTACTAAACTGGGTAAGGCACTAAATCAGAAAAGTGAAAATTTTTTCGAAGAAATTAATATTCTGGGCACCGGGTTCTAGTCCCGGATGCTCCTCTTCCAGGCCAGCTCTCTGCTGTGGCCTGGGAGAGCAGTGGAGGATGGCCCAAGTGCTTGGGCCCTGCACCCGCATGAGAGTCCAGGAAGAAGCTCCTGGCTCCTGGCTTCGGATCGGCATAGCCCCGGCTGTTGCGGCCATTTGGAGAGTGAACCAACAGAAAGAAGACCTTTCTGTTCCTCTCTCTGTCTATAAAACTCTACCTGTCAAATAAATTAAAAAAAAAAAATAGAAAAAGAAAAATATTCCTCTGACCTATCTTTTTACTTCAGTATAAAGCAGCCAACGCTCCTTTTCTGTCCCTGTGAGTTCAGTTACTCTCAGAGTTCACCTGCAGAGCTGAAAAGGCGATTGTTCTTGCTCCACAGTCAGATCCAGAACTCCAGCTGTCTCCCTGCAGTTGTCCCCGTGACAGCCCAGCTAACATTTCTAGACCTGATCAAGTATCCCATGTCCCTCACGGGCACGCCAGGCTTGGGAAATCATTCCAGACCAGTCACTGACCATTTGTTCCACTACCTGAAAAACTCATGCTGCCGCTCCTCCACACTACACTGCTTTTTTTAAAAGGCTTCTTTAAAAATTCGACTCTCCTATTATCAGCCTAGCCATCAACAACCCTGAGACTTCATACTTGAAACATTAGGTAACAAGAAACTTCCTTCCATCTCTCACACAGCAGTCGTGGGCTCTTCACCACATAGCTAATGATATTTGAGGAATAGTACACAAAACTCTTAAGATTCTTATCAAAAAGAAATGAACAGGAAAACTATCCTCACAAAGTATCTCACACTGGAATGTCTGACAACTCCCAATCTCTTACAGGAAGAACGTTAAGATGCCTAAGCCCCAGATATGTGCAGTCTAATGTCCAAAGATAACACACACACATAACAACAATTTCAAAACATGTGAAGCCTGAGTCACTGGCGAATTTTATCATATTCCAATATGGTAAAGTATTAAAATACTTTGTGTGCTCAAAATTATTAAAATATAAAGATACCGAGGGCTCTCCAAATCATTCAATACATCAGAGAATATTCATTTGGGCACATTAGCTAATTCCTTAAACTCCCACTCCCAGTTTCAGGCCCTCCAGAGCTTATTCAACTACGTACTGCAGCAACTTTGCCCTTGAATTGAGCAAATGTGTACACTAAGGAGTCTGTGGGGAGGGAAGCTCACACATTACACAGGTTACAGTGAGTCTGTGAGCTAAGGAGATGGACAGAGATGCAGCATGAATGAAATAATTCAGAAAAAAGGAACTCAAGTGCCCCAAGGCCAATTAACTCTCTCAAAAAAGATTAGTAAGGAATAAGCTACTCTAAAACAGCTAGATTATTTTACACTGTGAGCTACAAATAATTCTACAATTTGTAGCTACAAAAAATGAACCGATTACCCCCAAAACGCAAATATCGTTAAGACATTCTGTCCTGAAATAAAGACTACAGAGTATGAAAACAACTTGTAACACAAACTACTTTCAGAGCTAGGAGACAGTCAGACCTGAGCAGTATAAAGACTAGTCGTGTTTCACATTTCATTTCACTAAAACTTCACAAACACATCAAACAGGGAAATGTTTGCTTTATTTTTAAGGAGAATAAGAGCAGTTTTTAAAAATATAGAAAAGCACCAAGAACTATAAGTCTTACAGTACACATGTAAGTATTATTATGGGTCCAAAAAATTCCCATTGCTTTAACCTTGTTCCAACAGGGATTGTGAGAAATCCACTAGATTAGACTATGTTGCGCCTAAGTGCACCCACTAGCATGTGTCACCGCAGTAACAGCCCTATCGTGCAAACGTTTAAGTTGACTGCCACTCATTCCAGGGGGAAATACCATCATTCCAGGTCCTCGGGGCCAAAGTTCCCTGACGTGGGCCTGACTCCCGCAGTGCTGCACATGAATGAACCCATACTGCCTACCTCCCACTGCAAAGCTCAAAGACTGCTGAACTTGCGGCTCAACAAGACCCCATACCGGCAAGTCCACACTGACGTCGGTGCCATCCAGAAGGGACACCCGGCACGTGATGACGGATTTGGCATCTCCAGCCGCAGGAATGTGCGTGGGGGCTCGCTGCGCCTCCCGGAGCCGCTCCTTCTCGGCATGCTTCCGCATGGACCGACGCCCGAGGGTTCTACGGAGGAATCGCAGCATTTCTGCCACTACAAAAGCAGAGAAAGAGAGAGGGTATCAGGGAGCAGAAGATGGCACCAGTCGGATAAATTGCGTTATCAGTGCAGTCCTGTGGACCTGGGCAGGTATGCACTAAAAAAGGATTAATATTGGAAAAAAATAATTAAAACTGGCTTTATATTTATTTCAAAATATTTCAAAATACAATCTTATAGTCAGACAATTTTTATCTGTCAACTAAAAATAATTTTTAAAAACTGGCTACTTGAATTCAAAGTTGTTTAAAGACTGTTACATATAAGCCGAGTCATGGCCTGCAGCTTCCTCAACCTACTGGACAATTTTCTCAGAAGCTGATCTGGAGGAGAGGGGTGAACATGCATGAAGCTCATCATATCTTCGGGATCAATACATCGTAAGTACAAGCAAACATCAAAGCTGTCAGACACCAAGGTGCACTCTGGCGGTCGCGACAGTCCTGAAGTTCCATCCCTTCTGAGCATTTGTTAAAGAGAATCGCCTACTGCAACTAAAGTACAATGCCAAACCCTAAGTGTCATCAAACAGCCTATCATTTACAGTTCTTACATCACAAGTTAACAAATCTTTACAGTGTCCAACTATTTTAATGCTACTGCTTCCTTACCTCCATTAAGAACATTAAGGTTAATCAAAATGGTTAACACAGATAGTAGCAATTTAAAATTCAGCACTATATTTAGAAATGCCCAATGTAGTATCAGAAACACATATAATGGAAAGTACTCTAAGTTACCTTCTAAATTCATGGGTTTAATTTGCACAACTAAGAGAGTTCAAGAATAAGTATAGGGGGCCAGCACAGTGGCACAGCAGGTTAATTCCCTGGCCTGAAGTGCCTGCATCCCCTCTGGGCGCTGGTTCGAGACCTGGCTGCTCCACTTCCAATCCAGCTCTCTGCTATGGCCTGGGAAGGCAGTGGAAGATGGCCTTGGACCCCTTTGCCTCCGTGGGAAACCTGGAAGAAGCTCCTGGCTTCAGACTGGCACAACTCCGGCTGTTGTGGCCAATTGGAGAATGAATCATCAGATGGAAGACCTCTCTCTCTCTCTGCCTCTCTCCTCTCTAACTCTTTCAAATAAATAAATAAATCTTTAAAAAAGGTATAAGTATAGTACATTAACTAATGTTAATTCCAGAGAAAAACAAGTGGTAGAAGAGGGAGAGAAATCACGGTAAAGTACATGACTTAGCTAGTAGTTTAAAGTCATAATACTATCAGCACTAAATACTGATCTAACCAGAACTATGAAGCAACTACAACTAAGAGTGTCTGACATGTGTAGGGGATCAGGAGTGTGGAGAGTTCATTCCACATCTTGCCCAGTACCAACCTGACAGGCTGACTCCCAAAATTAGAAATCATGAACGAGTACAAGGGGCGGGAATTTGGCATAGTGGTTAGAACACCACCGTAGAGTGCCTGGCTCAAGCCTCATCTGCTCCGCTTCAGACCCAGTCTCCTGCTAATGGGTCCCGTGGGGGGCAGCAGACGATGACTCAAGCAAGTTCTTAGATCCTTGCATCTACATGGGAAACCCAGATGGAGTTCAGGCTTCTGGCTGCAGCCAGGTTCAGCCCTGGTTGCTGCAGACACCTGAGTTATAAGCCAGCACATGAAGATCTCTTCTCTCCGTCTCCCTACCTTTCTTTTTTTTAATTAATTTATTTATTTGAAAGTCAGAGTCACACAGAGAGAGGGAGGCAGAGAGAGGCAGAGAGAGGCAGAGAGAGAGAGAGAGAGAGCAAGCGAGCGAGCTTCCATCCAAGGGTTCACTCCCCAGATGGCTGCAACGGCCAGAGCTGCACTGATCCGAAGCCAGGATCCTGGAGCTTCTTCCAGGTCTCCCACGTGTGTGCAGGCACCCAAGGACTTGGGCCATCTTCTACTGCTTTCCCAGGCCATAGCAGAGAGCTGGATTGGAAGAGGAGCAGCCAGGACTAGAACCGGTGACCATATGGGATGCCGGAGCTTCAGGCCAGGGCATTAACCCCCTGTGCCACAGCGCTGCCCCGTCTTCCTACCTTTCAAATAAAAATGAATTAAAATCAGCGCATATGACTTAAAACGTGGAAGTGGTTCCCTGAGAGTAGAGCAATTCAGAAGAATGCCGCTTTTGAAAAGAAGCCTTAATTATGGCCCTGTCTAAATACTGACGGAGTTTGTGGACTCAAAAGGCTTCCATAGCCTTGGCAGCTCATGACAAGAGCCTCGGGTGATCACTGACGTCATAAATAAGAGTGTCAATTGTTAAATCAACAGGAGTCACTTGTTCCACATGTAGGACCTCTGTCCTTAATGAGTTGTACTATGAGAATTAATGGTAAAACTTGTCTTCAAACAGTACTTTATACTTTGTGTGTCTGTGTGGGCGCAAACTGTTGAAGTCTTTACTTAGTATAGAGTTGGTCTTCTGTATATAAAGATAATTAAAAGTGAATCTTAATGAAGAATGGTATGGGAGAGAGTAGGAGGTGGGACAGTTTGGGGGTGGGAGGGCAGGCATGGGGGGAAGAACTGCTGTATTTCAAAAGTTGTACCTATGAAATTTATATTTATTAAATAAAAGCTTTCTAAAAACAAAAAAAAGGAAAAGCAAAGAAGCCTTAGACCGGATGATTCCAGTATATACCTAGCATGCTAGATGCATGCTCCTATGTGATCCCAACAACTAAAATCCTAAATGGTTCTCCAGTTTACACAGCCTTCAGACACAACGGCTGGTCTCCAGGGTTTTCCAGGCACAGCTCCTCTGGCACCTACACCTGCAGCCCCGCTTTCAGCGGTCTAAGACTGCAGCTATTAGCCCAGATTTCTAAAACTCTTAGACCAGAGAATCTCTACTTACTCCTTTTAACTCAGCTCCTTCAACACCTCCCCTGGGAAACAGTCTCCGATTTCCAAGTTAGTCGCTCCCACCCAGGCACCTCCACCCAACCTTGACAGTATTTCATTGCTTCACTAATCAGATTTGAAATTACTCATTTACACATCTGCCTCATTTATTGTTAGCAAATTTGAGGACACAACCCCTCCTCTGAATAGCTAGCCACCCCACATAATTCATAATCCTAACAACAAACAGTAAGTAAATACTCTTATCTGTCTTAAGAAAAACTGCCCAGGCATAGTCTCATTCCCATGAGACGTAAACCGAGGCTCAGAGAAATTAAAGCATTGGCCAACTCTGTATTTTAGCAAATGGTGAAAACAGGGGGTCTCTTCTCTATATCATAGAAACATTCATGCAAAACTCACATTATGGAGGCAAGAAATTGTAAAAGATCATAGATTACAAGAAGCTGAATGAAAACACAAACACAAAAAACCTCTTTTTTAAAAATCTAATTTGTCTAATCCAACAAATTACAAAGAGGAAAAAGATGCAAAGGGAAGCAGATATTAAAAGTGACTGAGGGGCCAGAGCTGTGGCATAGCAGGTAAAGCTGCCGCCTGCAATACCAGCACCCCACAGGGCACTGGTTCATGTTCCAGCTGCTCCTCCTCTGATCCAGCTCTCTGCTGTGGCCTGGGAAAGCAGCAGAAGATGGCCCAAGTCCTTGGGCCCCTGCACCTTGTGGAATACCCAGAGGAAACTCCTGGCTCCTGGCTTTGGATTGCCTTGGCTCCTTCTGTTGTGGCCATTTAGTGGGTTAACCAGAGGATGAAAGACCTTTCTCTCTGTCTCTCCCTCTCTAGCTAACTATCTCCAAAAAAAAGTGACTGAAGTGTGCCAGCATTGTGGTGCAGTGGGTTGAGCCATAGCTTGCAAACCCAGCATCCCATACTTGGAGTCGCAGCTGCTCTGCTTGATCCAGCTCCCTGCTAACGTGCCTGGGAGGATGGCCTAAGCACTCTGGGCCCCCTGCCACCCACGGGGGAGACCCAGATGGAGTTCCCGGCTCCCAGCTTCAGCCTAGTCCAGCCCCAGCTCTGGTGGGCATTTGGGAAGTGAACCAGCAGATGCAAGATCCATCTTTCTCTACCCCCGCCTCCCATCCGGCTCTTTTTCTCTATCACTCTGTCTCAAATAAGTAAAAACAAACTTTTTTTTTTTTTTTGACTGACAGAGTTAGACAGTAAGAGAGACAGAGAGAAAGGTCTTCCTTCAGTTGGTTCATCCCCCAAATGGCCACTACAGTCGGCACGCTGCGCCGATCCGAAGCCAGGAGCCAGGTGTCTTCTCCTGGTCTCCCACGCAAGTGTAGGGCCCAAGCACTTGGGCCATCCTCCACTGCCTTCCCAGGCCACAGCAGAGCCTGGAAGAGGAGCAACCGGGACAGAATCTGGTGCCCCATCTGGGACTAGAACCCAGGGTGCTGGTGCCGCAGGCAGAGGACCAGCCAAGTGAGCCACAGGGCTGGCCAAAACAAACTTTTTATAAAAGTGACTTAAAAAAAAGTGATTTAAGGGGCCGGTGCTGAGGCATGGTGGGTGAAGTCGCCCCTGCAGTGCCAGCATCCCAGGTGGGTACCAGTTCGGGTCTCCGCTGCTCCACTTCTGATCCAGTTCTCTGCTATGGCCTGGGAGAGCGGTGGAGGATGGCCAGGGTGTTTGGGCCCCTGTGCCTGCGTGGAAGACCCAGAGGAGGTTCCTGGCTCCTGGCTTTGGATCAGCTCAGCTCTGGCCGTTGCAGCCATCTGGGGAGTGAACCAGCGGACGGAAGACCTCTGTCTGTCTCTACCTCTCTCTGCCTCTCTGTAATTCTGCCTTTCAAATAAATAAATAAAATCTTTAAAAAAAAGTGACTTAAAATACATATCAATCACAATATGTTGACCTATTTTGGACTCTGATTCAAATAAACCAATTTAAAAGTTGTGAGATGCTATCATTAGCGGAAGCTCAGTGAAATGTATAACTCCTACATTAGTCTAAAATTATTTCAATTTTTTTAAAAAATCAAAATCTGTTGTCATATACAGTTTATTAGAAGCCTTGCATAACTAGCTGACTCTTTAATCTAGAAGCATTTATAAACCTCATAAAAATAAAAGCTAAAATACTAAATGACATATTAAAAATATATTCAATAGCCATGAATTGAAGACTATCATCTTCATTTTAACAAGTATGCATGCGCCTGTGTAATTAAAAAACTGGAAAAGCCAAGAGAGTTGTCGTTTGAACTTTACCAAGGAAATAAATTATACACACACAGTTCAGCACTGACTGGATTATTGAAGATAACCAAGCAACTACTGCCACTTTTCCTTTAATTAAAAACAGGGGCACCACGGTTAATTTTTTTTTAAAGAATCCTTATCTTTCAGAAATACACACTGGAATATTTATAGACTAAAAGATGTGAGGTCTTGTATTTGCATCAAATTAACACAAGAAAGGGGGTTAAGTGGTGACAGAGACAAACTGGCTCCTCACAGGGCAGTAACTATGTCTGGGCGCTGGGTACCTGGAGCTTCATTATACTCCCTTAACCACTTTTGCATACATTGAATTTTTTTCATAAAATAAAGGCTTTTAAAGAAAAAGTGTTCAAATACACAATTCTGTGCTTCTTAGGTTAGGGAGCAAATATCATAAATCAATTTTTCTGACTTTCTCCTTAGATCTGAATTGAAAAAGAAATGAAAAATTACCAGAAGGAAACAGCATATTAGCATGAGAGGTTTTTAAACAATTTCCAAAAAAATTTTTTTGAAGGATTAATATGCAGTTTAATAAAACTACACATCTTTTTTTTTAAAAAAAGACTTATTTTATTTACATGAAAGACACAGCTCCAGAGACAGAGAGATCTTCCATCCACTGGTTCATTCCCCAAGTGGCCGCAAAGGCCTGAGCTGAGCCAATCCGAAGCCAGGAGCCAGGAGCCTCTTCCGGGTCTCCCACGTGGGTGCAGGGGACCAAGGACTCCGGCCATCCTCTACTGCTTTCCAGGTGTAATAGCAGGTAGCTGGACTAGAAGTGAAGCACCCAGGACTCAAACCGGAACCCATCCGGGATGCCAGCAATGCAGACCAGGGCTATATATAACCTGTGCACCACAATGTTGGCCCCATTCAGAAAAGCAACAGAAAAATGGGCAAGATGAAAAAATAACTGTGAAATGAGAATAAAGATTCACAAAAAAAATTTGCTTAAAAAATATGTTCAACTTCAACAGTAATCAAGAAAATTTTAACTAAAAAGTAGGATATTTGTGATGCAAGACTCAAGCTCAGGGCCACCGTTGTGGCATTGCCAGATAGGATAAGCTGCCACCTGCAACACCAGCATCCCTATGGGTGCTGGTTTGAGTCCTAGCTGCTCCGCTTCCTATCCAGCTCCCTACTATGCTCCTGAGAAAGCTGCGGAAGAGGCCCAAGTGCTTGCACCCCTGCACCCTTGTGGGAGACACAAAGGAAGCTTCTGGCTCCTGGTTTCGGCCTGACACAGCCCCAGTCATTTCAGCCATCTAGGGAATGACCCAGAAGAGGAGGATCCCTCTCCCTCTCTTTCTCCGTAACACTGCCTTTCAAATAAATGACTAAAATAGGGCCCAGCGTTGTGGTGTAGTAGGTTAAGGTGCCGCCTGCAATGCCCATATGGGTGCCTGTTAAGAGTCCCAGCTGCTTCATTTCAAATCTAGCACCTGCCTGCGTGGGAGACCCAGAGGAGGTTCCTGGCTCCTGGCTCCTGGCTTTGGATCAGCTCAGCTCTGGCTGTTGCAACCATTTGGGGAGTGAAGCAGCAGATGGTAGACCTCTCTCTGTCTCTCCCTCTCTCTCTGCGACTCTTTCAATAAATAAATAGATCTTAAAAAATAAATAAGTAAATCTTTAAAAAGGACTCAAAGTAGTGTTAAAACAAATATTAAAAAACTATCTTTTTTTTTGGCCGGTGCCGCGGCTCACTAGGCTAATCCTCCGCCTTGCGGCGCCGGCACACCGGGTTCTAGTCCCGGTCGGGGCGCCGGATTCTGTCCCGGTTGCCCCTCTTCCAGGCCAACTCTCTGCTGTGGCCTGGGAGTGCAGTGGAGGATGACCCAGGTGCTTGGGCCCTGCACCCCATGGGAGACCAGGAAAAGCACCTGGCTCCTGGCTCCTGGCTCCTGCCATCGGATCAGCGCGGTGCGCCGGCCGCAGCACGCCGGCCGCGGCGGCCATTGGAGGGTGAACCAATGGCAAAGGAAGACCTTTCTCTCTGTCTCTCTCTCTCTCACTGTCCACTCTGCCTGTCAAAAATTAAAAATAAATAAATAAATAAAAACTATCTTTTTTTAAGATTTATTTTTATTTGAAAGTCAGAGTCACAGAGAGGTGCAGCGAGAGAGAGGTTTTCCATCTGCTGGTTCACTCCCCAGATGGCTGCAATGGCCAAAGCCAGGAGCCAGGAGCTTCTTCCTGGTCTCCCATGTAGCTGCAGGGGCCCAAGCACTTGGGCCATCTTCTACTGCTTTCCCAGGCCACAGCAGAGAGCTGGATGGGAAGTGGAGCAGCTGGGACTCAAACTGGCACCCATACAAGAGGCTGGCACTGCAGGTGGCAGCTTTACCTGCTATGCTACAGCGCCGGTACAGCGCCGGCCCCAAACCATCACTTTCACACAATGTCCTCTGAAAGGGGATTTGATGTTTTTATGAAAAACTAACATGTATCCCCTTTCACTCAGTAACGCTATTTCTGGTAGAAGAGCTGAGAGAAACAGTCACACATGTGCCCTAAGTTGTAGGAATAAGGATCCTTCCGGGTGTAAGTGACCTGGGGAATTTTTCAGTGTGTCCACCAACTTGCAAATATTTAAGCAAGTTCTGGTATATACAATGATATACAGCATAGTCATCTGCTGACAAAACAGGCATCTAAGTGAAAAATCAAATTGAGAAAAACAAATACAGCACTATCCCACCTGGAGTGGAACACACACTCCCCACCACCACCACACACACACACACACACACGCACTATAAGGTCTTGTAAACGGCTGAGGAAGGCTCTTTCTGGGAAGGGCCATGTGAGAGACCTTAATAAGAACACATGAATGTGCCATTAAGAGCTGAACTGTTTAAAAAGCCATTTCCTCAAGTTCCTCTTTCCCCATCCCACCAGCATGCCCTCAATTCCACTCTTCCTGCTGCAGCAGGCGGATTTCCCGCCACCACCAATCTGACGGCTGCTCCCAGCCTCTCCCGGCCCGGCCTCCTGACCCAGCTCCCGCAGGGCCCTCTCGCAGCCCGCCTCCCGCTCAGCAGAGTCTCAACTCTGGCCCTGCTTTTATTCGCTGCCCCATCGTTCTGGAAAAATCTTTCTCCACTGCACCTCTCCCCCTCCTCCTCTCCCGTCCCAGGGCTAACTTGAATGGCTTTTACTCAGAAAAGCATTCCTAGACTCCCGGGTCTAAAAAGGTGCCCCTTTCAACAGTTTGGCCTTTTCTTTATAACACCTCCAGAAACTGTAATTAAATCCCTAATTGCCTCTTTTTTTTTTTTTTTAAACCGGCTGCTCTGCCCACTTGACTGGTTCACTGCTATAACCCGACAGTTAGCATGGCAACCTGCAGATCAGGCACCAACAGGGTATCGCCAGGCACACCGAAGTGACCCAGCGGAACTTTTGGATGGCAGCATTATGTGGCTTCAAAAAAGAAAGTTTTAAATATATAATTTCTACCTTGTTTGATAACGACCTAACAACGGTTCCCTTTACAACCAGAGAAATGTCAATTTAAGTACCCGGCTTACTATCTAAAATTAACAGAAGTTGACTTTTTGTTGTTGTTAAAACACACACACACACACATATCCAAAACCCGAAAGTTCATCACAAAATGTGTGCGCTCACAACCGCGGAGGCTGCCCAACGCACTTAACCGACAGAGGCGGGCAGCGGCCGTGGGAATCGGCTCACCGAGGGAAGCAGGGCCCGGCCACGGGCTAGGTGGGCTACGACCGGAGGTAAGGCAGGTGCGAGCGACGGCGAGACCCCGGTTTAAAACACACACTGCCAAACGGCTGAGATTAGCTGGGTCTCGTCTCTCGCAAGGGGAGCTCACGAGGCCCACGCAGTCCCGACGAAGACAGGGACAGGGACGATGAGGACGGGAGCGAGGTCTGCAGCCCGAGCTCAGGGCGGCCGCGAGCGCACCTGCCTCTCACCGCTTCCCGGCGGCGCCGAGCCTCACTCAGTCAGCAGCCAGCCAAGTCCGCCCGGGCGCTCGTTCCGAGGCCGTGACCCGAGCTCGCGGCGCCCTCCTCGCACCTGCGCCCCCTCCCCGGCCTCCCAGGCTGCACGGTCACGCGCCCCCACGCCCCTCCCCGCCACAGGTGATGCCCGGCGGGCGGGGCCGGCTCGAGTCCCGCAAACATTAACCCGGCGGCGCGCCGGGCCCTCGGCGGTATCGCCTGAAACTCGCCGCCCGGCCTCCCCGGGCGCCGCCGCCCCTCCCCTCCGGCCGGTGCAACGCCGCGCCGGCCCCGCGGGGCAGCACCGGGGCCCCCGCTCCCGGCGCGGTGGCCGGGGCTGAGGGCTGCGTCGCTCGGGCCGTCCGGCCCCGCGTTTACCTGAGCTGGGCGCGGTGGCGCGGTGGCGCGGCGGCGGCGGCGGAGGCGACCAGAGACGAGAGGACCCGAGCAAGGCTGAGGAGGGGGCGGCTCCTCCGGAGACGCCCGGAAATGGCGGCCTGCGGCGCGCGCCCACCCCGCTCTAATCCCCCGGCGGACCCCGGCTGCCCGCCGGCCCGCCCCTTAAAGCCCACTGCAAGCTCCGCCCCCGGAGGGCGGGGCGTGCGGCTCTTAAATGGGCAATGACACCGCCCCGGAAGTCGGCGCGCGGAGTGCGACCCGGGTTAAACCGGCGACGCCGGACTCGGTTGCGCCGAGCGCAGACGGCCGAGGAGGCGCTCTGCAAACCCTGCCAGGGCTCTCGGACCCGGGGCCTCGGGGCCGACGCACGCCCCGCGTAGATGGCCCCCAGAATGAGTCTTCTCAAGGGCGGAGCTGTGGAAATATGGGAGCTAGATGCTTTTGCGCGTAGGTGCAAGAAATCAATCCGAACCGCAGAGATTTACTGCCCCCGCGTCCCATGGCTGCTGAAGGAACTTCGGCTGTGTTTGCAGGCGGGAACGGGAACAAAGTGCCGAGTAGGGATCGGCGTCGGGAAGGAAAACAAAGCTGGGGAAAAGCCGGGAAGCGTGGCTCTGTGCAGACTCTTCGGCCTTCCTGTCCGCGGCGGACACCGCGTTCCAGACGTGCGAGGGGCCCGCGATAGGCGACCCGGACAGAAAGTCCCTCCCGGGACTCAGCCCCCGCGCGGGAGACGGGGACGGTGAGATAAGGCGGGCACGCGGGATGCTGCAGAGATAAGGCCAGGGGTGGCCGGTGCCGGGGACCGGTGACGTCCGGCAGGCAGGGGCGTGGGCCTCGGGGCTGAAATGCCCAGCGGCTGTTGCCAGAGCTCCCTCTGGGCGTCAGCCCTGCCCACTCCTCCACTACCCCCAAACTTAGAGGGGTACCGCAGCTCGGCTTACCGGGAGCTGGTGATACCCAGAAGGCAGGCGGACCACTCCTGCTGCCTCTCGCTGGTTTACCCGAGTTCCCGGCTCAGACCAGTTTCAAGGAGGATGTAAAAAACTCCATCTCGTTTTAAATGTCATTGATTTTTCTTTGCGAGAAAGAATGAAACACGCAGGCTCCCGGCTACTGGGTCACTCTCCCACGTGCCTACAATGGAAATAGCTGGGATCCTGGAACTCAATCCAGGTCTCCCACAGGGACTCAGTTGCTTTAAGCGTCACCACTGCCTCCCAGGGTCTGCATTAGCAGGGAGCTGGAGTGGAAGCAACAATCTGGACTCAAACCCAAGCGCTCAGATACGGCGTGCAGGCACTGCAGCTGCTAGGCTCAATTCCCAGCACCTTTTTTCTTTTAATGTTATTGAGTTGGAGGCCGGCGCTGCGGCTCACTAGGCTAATCCTCCGCCTTGCGGCGCCGGTACACCGGGTTCTAGTCCCGGTCGGGGCGCCGGATTCTGTCCCGGTTGCCCCTCTTCCAGGCCAGCTCTCTGCTGTGGTCCGGCAGTGCAGTGGAGGATGGCCCAAGTGCTTGGGCCCTGCACCCCATGGGAGACCAGGAGAAGTACCTGGCTCCTGCCTTCGAATCAGCACGGTGCGCCGGCCGCAGCCCCCCAGCCGCGGCAGCCATTAGAGGGTGAACCAACGGCAAAGGAAGACCTTTCTCTCTGTCTCTCTCTCTCACTGTCCACTCTGCCTGTCAAAAAAAAAAAATGTTGAGTTGGAGAAACTTTCCTTCTCCAATCAAAAAAAGTGGGGAGGGGGCGGTGTGGCATCGTGGTAGCAGGTAAAGCCACTGCCCGAGACGCTGGTATCCTGTGTGGATGCTCCCTGCTTATGCGCCTGGGAAGGCAGCAGAGGATGGTCCAAGTGCTTGGGCCCCTGCACCCACGAGGGAGACCTAGATGAAGCTCCCGGCTTCTGGTTTTGGCCTGGCGCAGCCTCTGCTGTTACAGCCATTTGGGGAGTGAAGCAGCAGGTGGAAGGCCTCTCTTCCTCCCTCCCTTTCCCTGTCACTCTGCCTTTCAAATAAATAAAAAATCTTTTTAAAAATGTATACTTCCTTGGCTTAGTGTTTCCATAAAGTGGTAAAAATATCACCATGCTCTAATTGTACAACATCTGCATCAAAGTCATGCTCCAAGGAACAGCGTGGGCCCACAGGAGGGGAGGAATTGTGCTGGTCCTAGCTTCATCTTATCTCAATTAACAAGTGATGATGATGATGGGATGGGGAAGAAGCAGATGGGAATCGCGGTCAGCTAAGAATGGGCCATGAGTTGAGGCTGGGTGATGGGTGCACTCCTCTATTTTCTGTATAAGTTTAAAAATCTTACATAATAAAAAGTTTTTAAAATACCACTTGGGGGGCCGGCGCCGCGGCTCACTAGGCTAATCCTCCGCCTTGCGGCACCGGCACACTGGGTTCTAGTCCCAGTCGGGGCGCCGGATTCTGTCCCGGTTGCCCCTCTTCCAGGCCAGCTCTCTGCTGTGACCAGGGAGTGAGTGGAGGATGGCCCAAGTACTTGGGCCCTGCACCCCATGGGAGACCAGGAGAAGTACCTGGCTCCTGCCTTCGAATCAGTGCGGTGCGCTGGCCACAGCACGCCGGCCACAGCGCGCCGGCCGCGGCAGCCATTGGAGGGTGAACCAACGGCAAAGGAAGACCTTTCTCTCTGTCTCTCTCTCTCTCACTGTCCACTCTACCTGTAAAAAAAAAAAAAATACCACTTGGGGGCCAGTGGTGTACCGGCATGCCATATGGGTTCAAGTCCCGGCTGCTCCACTTGTGATCCAGCTCTCTGCTGTGGCCTTGGAAAGCAGTAGATTACCCAAGTCCTTGAGCCCCCGCACCTGCGTGGGAGACCCAGAAGAAGCTCCAAGCTCCTGGCTTCGGATCGGTGCAGCTCCGGCCGTTGTGGCCATCTGGGGAGTAAACTGGCAGATAGAAGATCTCTCTCTGCCTCTGCCTTTCTGTGGCTCTGCCTTTCAAATAAATAAATCTTAAATATAAATAAATAAATAAATACAATACCACTTGGGCCTTGTCCCCCTTGGAAAGATTCTACCCAAGGGTCTGATCGCCCAGTCTGACAGCTGTAGTCCTGGGGGCCATGGCCCAGGCAGGTCAGCGCCCCGCCCTCCAGCATTTGCAGAGCTGAGCTGTCATTCATCTCCCAGCTGTCCGGTCAGTACTCAGTCCCATCTCATTCTCCTAAACTGTTGGCTAACACACCAGTTTGGAGACAGGGTCCCCTTTGCCTTTCCTGCTCAATCCTTTCTTCTGCCTCCTACCAAGGGTGTGGTTGAAGGAGGCTGGGGACGATGTGAGAAACAGGTTAAGACGGGTGATGGCCACAGGAAGACTGGGGGGAAGGAGGATGGAACCTAAGGGCCTAAGTCACAGGAAGGCGTTTGTGCTCAGGTCGGATCAGAGTATCCCTATAAACACGGTCACTCTGTCTCCCAGTCATAAGTACTCCCCTGCAACATCCCGACTTTGCGGTAAATTAGCCTGAAAATTGACTCCCACCAGAGACACTGAATTTCTGCTCCTCAAACACAGCGGCCCCACTGGGGTGCCCCTTGCGACAGCAGAATCCCATATCCCATATTGGAGTGCCGGTTCGAATCCCCAGCTGCTCTGCATCTGATCCAGCTCCCTGCTAATGCACCTGGCAAGGCAGGGGAACATGGCCAAGTACTCTCGGATGGAGTTCCTAGCTCCCGGATTCAGCCTAGCCCAGAACTGACGGTTGTGGCCATTTGGGCAAAGAACCAGCGGATAAAAGATCTCTCTGTGTATCTCTCCCTCTTGTCATTCTGCCTTTCAAATAAATACATCTTTTAAATATATATTTATACATGCAGAATAAACAATCTATTGTTATTACATTATAAGACATCATATGTTTAATGCCATTACAAGTGTATGTTCAGCATGTCCTTGATGAGCGATGCATATAATTTGAAGGTGAGTGTGAAATAACACAACTTTAAGAATTCAAAACTAGGCCAGCGCCATGGCTCACTAGGCTAATCCTCCGCCTAGCGGCGCCGGCATACCGGGTTCTAGTCCCGGTCAGGGCACCGGATTCTGTCCCGGTTGCCCCTCTTCCAGGCCAGCTCTCTGCTGTGGCCTGGGAGTGCAGTGGAGGATGGCCCAAGTGCTTGGGCCCTGCACCCCATGGGAGACCAGGAGAAGCACCTGGCTCCTGGCTTTGGATCAGCGTGATGCGCCGGCCACAGTGCGCCGGCTGCGGCGGCCATTGGAGGGTGAACCAACGGCAAAGGAAGACCTTTCTCTCTGTCTCTCTCTCTCACTGTCCACTCTGTCAAAAAAAAATTAATTAAAAAAACTCAAAACTAGGTATGAGGTATGGGAAGGGGCCCACACACATGAAGAGCCCTGAAGCTTGAATCGGATTATCTCATGATAAATCACCTCTAGCCACAAGAAGAAACATAATCCCTCTTTCACATCACAACCCTTTCAATCGTTAAGGGCCTCTGTCCCAGGCCTGCAACGGCTGCTCCTCTTATCCTGATAGCCA